GGGTAGCTTTTCTTAGACGTAAGTTATATTCAGCGTACTGTATACAGTGTACAAGTGTGCTAATCAAGAATTATTTTATAGCCCATTGGGCCAATAGGGAAATCTTAAGGAAATCTTAAGCAGCTCTTGTACCTGATACCAGAAGGAAAACTAAGAATTCCTTTTTTTTTCCTTTAAAGTTTTTTTTCCTGCCTTCTAAGTTTATTTTATTTATTTATTTTTTAAAAGATTTTATTTATTTAGCAGAGAGAGACACAGTGAGAGAGGGAACACAAGCAGGGAGAGTGGGAGAGGGAGAAGCGGGCTTCCTGCCTGGCAGAGAGCCCAATGCGGGGCTTGATCTCAGGACCCTGGGATCATGATCTGAGCCAAAGGCAAACGTTTAACAGACTGAGCCACCCAGACACCCCAAGGCTAAGAATTCTAAGTCAAGTTTCATCCCTGCAAGTTTCAATGTTAAGACAGTAGGAGATACCAACAGCTGGTGGCCAGTCTTTGAATTCTCCTTTGCTGTTGAAAACTGGCAAAAGACAGATCTACTACTAAAGAGAAAAAAAAAAATTCAAAACAGAAACCTATAAGAAGGTTATCATGAAAGGGTGTTATGGGCAGACTTCATTATTCAAATAAATGTCAGAGAGCGATACTTACAACATTCAAAACAATGTATATCTGAGAAATAAAACACTAAGCAATTTTAAAGAGAATATGATAAAGAGAAAAAAGAGGTTGTTACATTTTCACTGAAAACTAGTAGTTAAAATGTAAGGTACTTAGCAGTTAACACCATTTAAGAAAAGACTGCAGGGATTGTTAATACAGCAATCAAATTAAAATACAGCCATCTTTCCTTGTAGACCTCAGCAGAATTTGGGAGCTAGTTAGTGAAGAGAGAAATTATAATAAACACTACAACAGTTTGCAAGGGGTTAATGAAAGAAAAGTAAGAAAAGACCAAAACTATGTGTTGAGGATCTTGGACATAAACATTTTCTGGGATAATCAAAATTGAGAAATGCACAAATTTACTTAGGAGAAGAGTTTGCCAAAGTCCTTTCTATTATTTCTAGAATGTTTCCTCCGTGCTTTAACAAGACCAGTAGGGGATTGATCTTATCCCCATTTTAGAAATGAAATAACTGAGGCACAAGGAAATTAGTAACAACTTCATCCATGTGCCTAGTAAAGTGAGTTGGCATTTGAACACAAGACACTTAGTGTCCTAAAGGCTATCTTGCTTAGCCTTATTACAAAATTATGTTTCCCACCAGTCAATGGAAAACAATAAAAGATGTTTGATGTTTACAGGCAATCCTGATATATTAATATATTGAATCCCTAAGAAATTGTTATTAAATATTATAGAAATACTGTTGATGTCACAATAGGGGCAATAAAAAGCACCAAGGATAAAAGCATCCAATTGGTCCACGTATTCTGAATGACATTTTCTCATTAATATGTAATAAATTAAGTGAATAATAAAATATATTAATATATCAATAATATAACAATATACAGTAATAATATGTAATAAAATGAATTTTAATGTTACTAAAAATAAATAAATGTTAATGCAATTATTTAATAGGAGAGACCTTTATTTATGTAAGTAATCTCTACACCCAAAACTGGGCTTGAACTCATGATCCTGAGATCAAGAGTCACATGCTCTACCGATGGAGCCAACCAGGCACACTTAATAGGAGAGACTGTTAAAACCTTCAATAAATCAATCACTTACTATTCTAAGGTAATTAAGTAACAATTTAAAGTAGTCCTTTTTATTTAATAAAATGCATTAGAAGTATTTGGCATCATATCACCTTTAATTATTGTTGTTTCTTTAGGAAATGCAGTGACTAAATTAAACTGGGTATATATGAGAGTGCAATTCCAGAAAGACACTGAGAGAAACCTGTACATGTAAACACCTAATTTTAAAAAGGAGAGTGTTGCCAATTTGCATGGCTCTCGCAGTTATCCAGACCCCCCACCCCAAGTCACTCCACTTCTTTTGAAAGATTTAAACCCTGGCTCACTATTACATTATGCTCTCCAACCCTACTCTTTTCCTGCAAACCTATAATCTATCTGTCAACATCTTTATCCTTTTGTCCTCGTGGTCGTGTCTTAGACCTTGCCTCTAGCAACAACTGCAACCTCTGCATAATTTCAATTTCAACCTTCTGCCTCCCGGCAGTCACATTTTTCTTGCACTTTCTTAAAACATGCAGCACACTCTTGTCTCGGGGCCTTAGTAGCTAGCTATTACCTCTGTCTTGAGTGTTCTTTCTCCATGGATCTGCAGAGCTCACTCCTACAATTGGAGTCCTCAGGTCTTTTCCCAGTATCACCTTCTTAGAAGGCCTTTGCTGATGATCTTGTTTGAAATTTCAGCTCTCTTCCTGCTGGCACTCCTATTCCTTCTGCTTGCTTTGTTTTCCTTCACAGCTTTTTTTTTTTTTTTTTTTAGGTTCCACCCCCAGCATGCATCCCAGTGCCGGACTTGAACTCAGGATGCTGAGATAATGATCTGAGCTCAGATCAAGATTTGGACGCTTAACCAAGTAGCCACCCAGGTGCCGCTCCACAGCATTTTAAAATCATCAGATATAATATATCTTCTGACCGATGTATAGTTTATCGTTGGTAATCTCCATGAGGGAGGGATTTCTGTATTTTGTTCACTCATGCATCCCCAGAGCCCTGAGTAGGGCTAGGACAAACAGGGTCCCGATGCAACTCTGTGGGATGTACGATTTTGGTGAAATGAAGAGAAAGGCTATTGCAAGGCTGGAGAGTTGTATATTTTATGAAAGGGTAAATAAATTAATCTTTGGAAGGTCAATTCAAAAGGTGAACACAATCAGGAAAATGATACCGGTTGTAGCACATGGACTCTCCCTCATAGAGCTGTTTGATGCTCTTCATACAATATCTGTTTCCTGATGTTACATGGCTGTATGTGGGTATCCCACTTCTGAAAAACAGTTCCTACTCTTCTGCATACTACTAGGTTTCAAACTAGAAATTCCCCAGTGACTTAATGCCCTGACTAAAAGTCAGTTCTATAAGGAAAGATAATGCTTTGTTACAGCTTTCTGAAAAAAAACTGTGAACGTGGAGCTCTGGTCATGAAAATTAAGATCTCCTTTCAGCAGGTACGTTCTTCTACATGTGTTATTTCTCTTCCTATTTGCTCTGAGTCTATTAGATTTATATGGGTAGGCATGTAATAATTTATAATATAGTCATTAGTTGTAACCATGTGTTTATTAATAAATATAATATTAATATAACACATTACATCAATAGAGTATATGTAATAGAATAAAACACATAACATAGTAGTTAATAAATATGTGTTATTATAGATATTAAATATAATCTATAATATAATATAGAAAAAAGAAATTATATGTTCTATTTATTACTCATTTTATCTTATCATATCTTTTTATCATACAACCAGAAAGAGTCTATTAAGATTAAGGCAATAGCTTAATAGTAAACTGTAAACAAACAGATCTATGTAAGAATTCTCCAACCATTTCTCTCTCTTTTGACATTTACTGGCCTTCTCTGAGGCATAGATACTCGAAGGACCAGGCATTGAAACAGTGACTAGACTTGTGTCCTGTTCTTTTGTGTGACTGGAATATGGTCTGTATTTATTTTCGACAATATTACTGTCCAGACAATTTGAGTAATTTAACAGAGCTTTACATTAAACTTTGTTATTTTAGAATCTGCCAGCCCATCCTGAGAGCGGTTTGCACTCTACATTTTCTGCCAACAATTCTTCTACTGATCTTGGACTTCCTCTAGTTAAATCAACATCAACAAGAGGGGTGCCTGGGTGGCTCAGTTAAGCTTCCACCTCTTGGTTTTCGGGGTTGTGAGATCAAGCACCCCGTGGGGCTCCATGCTCAGTGAGGAGTCTACTTGAGATCTTCTCTCTTTCCCACTCCCTTCCCCCATTCTCTCTCTCTCAACAAACAAATAAACAAACAAACAAACAGACATCAACAGCAAACAGAAATGGACCTAAGCAGATACTTCAGGTGAAAGGTGAAGTGATAGATTTTCTTTCTTTCTTCAGAGGAAACTAGTTTTCTGAGCAGACCAGCATAGCAAGCTCAAGAGCCCCATGCCCAGATGACTGCTACTAAGCCCCAGGTGTTTATCTGAGCCTCACGCATGCGTCTGGCAGAACTCGGAATTCTGCCATCATTTCCCATGATAAGAACCCTTCTCTGAGCCCACACTCTTAGAAAAATACATGCCATCCTCCATGTTCAAACTCTAAAGTTAAAATCTGAAATAAAGTTTACCTTCCTTGGTGGCCTTCTGAAGATTTTTTACTAATTTGAAAAAATAACAGCCTTTATCCATTTATTTAACACTTTCATGTATGTAGTTATCTGCCTGAAAATCCTTTTGAGATTAAAAAGCTGTCATACTTTGTTATCTTTGTTCTTTGAGAGAGTAAAGCTGGTCTTTTCAGGGAAGACTTAGGAGATGAAGAAGGGAGTCGAAGAGGCCACTCGCTGGGCATCTTCAACTGTTCTCTGTAAGACTTCACTGGACATCATTCCAAAGGGAACTTTGTCCCTAGAGAGTGGCTAATGGCTTAAGGAATATAAATACAACAATGACCAGAGTGCTCCAAAATAAACATTTCCCCTTTATTTCAGAACCAGAAAAACTACCAATAATATCAATATAGAATAATAAAGAGGCTCTTACTCTAGCTCTCTAAATAGCAAAACTATGAAATCCTAACATATGCACCTCTCAAAAATGGGCTGGTTTTAGTGACAGGTGGCAGTCTTCCACAAAAATGATGAAATTCATTAAAATTGATAGTAATTAATATTATTAATAGTTCATAAGAAAAAGTAAAGACAATTTTTCTTAAATTCAGATTTTTAAAGAAATGGAGCCATTATTAGTTGTGTATTCTGCTTTCCTTCTGTGATGTGGTCAATACTTACAGTGAATTCAGAGAGCGTAGTCCTTGGAAAGCATCTGGTGCTAGTTCAGAGATCTGATTATTGCTCAGGTCACTAAGATTAGAAATAGGGTTAGGTTAAATGAAATAGAATGTCAGGGAGGATTTATAGCAGGAGAAAGCTACTTACTGCATTTACATGTCGATTTTGCACCTATCAATACATGTATAAAATTTGCAACATAAAACATCTGAAGCATCTTAAATAAAAAAAAAAAGGTCAGACTTTTAAATCAACTATTGGCTCTTTGCTGAAATCATTATAAGAGATGCCATGTCCTATTTTTCAAAATAGAATATCTAAGATTTGACTGCATACTATACTGATCATGTACATTCACATGGGTTTGAATCATTATGTTAAATTTCAGATAACTTAAAAATACCACATAGTTCAGATTTTAACATTATAGTATTATACAACTAGCAATCAGATAGTCACATCCCTTAATATTTAAGCTGTCAAACACTCAAATATTCATATGCAAGTAAATGCCTGCATGGTCATGACCTGTATAATTTTTAAAATTACATATATTCCATAATATTATTCACTCACATTCTTCTAAGCTTTTTATATGGTGAGAAAGCTCCAGGAGGGATGACCTTGATTGAGTTCTGTTCCAAACGTCTGCAATGAAAAAATTCAATTTTTAAATGGAAACGTGAGCTCTCAGGGATGTTTAATTCAAGCCCAGGATTCATGTCAAGAAGCAAAGTCGATAAGTTGATACTCTTCATGAGCAATTCTTTTTTTTTTCCTCAAAAAATGACTACTAAAATTAATAATGCCATGCCCTAAATGTGGAGCAAGATTGGGAATAAAAACAAGGCAATTATACAATGCATAAAAACCTCCTGATTTTTAGACATTACAGGAACATTAATATTTAAGTCTGGACTTTGTATAAAAAAGAAAGCACCTATAAGAAACTAACTTTGGAGTACATTTTAATAACCTTTATATCAGAAAGAGAAATATGTAGTAACACTGATGTTTTAGAGATAGATATAACTCTTTCACAAAGGAAATTACTGTTGGAATATTAAATTTTATAATCCTTTTATTTCCCCCACAGAAAACATATTATAGGTTCAAAAAAGCTGTTATACTCAGAAAATTAATTTTGCAGCTTCTTATGAGGTAAATCTTAAATTCCCAAACCATTAAGTATCATAGGTATTTTCACTAAGACTGGCTGGACTCTAAATATTTCGTATGAAAACCACTGTAGCAAAGTGTATTTAAATACAAGTGTTTTTATCATGCACTGAAATCAGAGTTGCCAATAATTCTACCCTCTGGTTCTGTTATCAAGAAATATACAATTTTCCCCACTTAGTTATGAAAGATACAAAGAAGCAGCTTTCATTAAGTGTTTCATTTCTATCCATGTGAACATCGTAATAAACGTTTCCCATCCCCATCTCCTCTTCTCTTTGTATCCCAGAGGCTGACTCTTGGGAACCATATATTCCAGGCTCACTTTGGCATTGGTGGGATTTGGCCAATGAGAGGCACTGGAGACTGAAAGGAGGATGAGCCAAGAAGCCAGGATATCCTCCCCTGCTCTGCATCAGGGGATGTTCCCAGCAGGGGTCCCCAGATCTCCTTCCTAAATTTAGCTCCTGCTAGGGCCACCTCCTAACTTTGTACAACACCCTTTTCTTCTTAGGTCTTTGTAGCCCCAGAGCGGGAGGCATCTTTCTGTTCTGTGTATCATCTTCACAACTGCTGATTTCATTCCTTATATTAAATCCCTCTCTTAAAATACATGGTAAGAGCTTCACTTTCCTGCCTGGATTAAAATACACACACACACACATACACACACACACGCGCGCGCGCGCGTGCACGCACACACACACTATTTAGACAGGTATAAATATTTATATTGGCATATTTATATATTTATGCATAAATACAATAACTGAATATATGTATATTGACTATACTGTGTCATATACATTGGTTCATTTTTACTGAATGTTAGTAATACTTGAACATGTAACTATTACCAACACTTAATGAGCTGCAAATCAAAACAAATAAAATACCCCAGATGGTTAAGTAGAAATGCATAAATTTTGGTCTTATCAAATGCCAAAGTCCTCCTCACGGTGCCAGGCTTTCTTCAACAGGCTCAGGTTTCAGCCTGACCACCTTATCTCTATATGCAATGGGTTTCCTCAGACAATATTGCTCCTGAACTCATTGTAGCACTTGACATTGCAAACAATACTTCTTCCACGGATCAGACACTGTATGCCTCTGGTTCTCTCCTTTTCTTTTTTTCTCAATTTCTGGATTTGTTTTCTGATCCTCTAAATCCCGTTATTCCCCCCAAGTTACTATTCCTTCCTCTCTGATACAAAAGGTAAAATCTTTTCTCTATTATCAGCATCACTAGTTATGATTCTCTTCCTTCAAAAAGCAGAAATCATTTTGTTCACACTCAAGATAAATTCAAGTTTATTTACAAAATATGTGAGGAAGAAAATACAAACTGCTCATAATGTACCACTCAGATCAGTCTTTAAGGGGTCTTTTTGGTATGTATATTTATTTTATCTCATTAAAGTCTTCTTGTATGAAGAATTCAGAGTTGTACACCTTATGTCAAATATGATATCCTACATATTTTCCTAATATCATTAAATATTTTGGAAGATGCTCTTTTTAATGTCTTTATTATTTAATGTCATTATCAAAATGGACCACATTCCTTAACCATTCCTTATTATTAGCCCATTTATGTTAGTAGTAATTTTACGTTATTATGAATTGTATTGTTTAGTTATTTTAAGATGACTGAAGCATGGCCTCCTCTTAAAGCCCGACTTGATTTTCTTGGGTATGGTTACTTGTATCTTTCTCTATATACTCAAGGGCATCCTCTTCTCTGTGTCTCTGCTCTATCTCACTGTATTCTAGTCATTTTTCACATATCCCTTCTCCACCAGGTTCATTGGCTCCTAGGGGGCAGATTTGCCCCAGAAGAGAAGAAATAAATTGTATGAAGAAAATATGGATTTGGCATCTTGATTATTTATCTAGGTCTTGAGAAAGGGTACTTTCTTCAAAAGCTCTAAATATAACAAAGGGCATTTAAACCATTTCACTGTTATATTATTGATTAGAATGTTATAAATTGATGGTTTAGAGACACTTTTTTTTTTTTTTGCTGAGTTCCATTCTTAGAGTTAGATCTTAAGAAGTTAAAAGTAATCAATGAAAATACTGTGAAAGTAAGCTATAGACACAACACTATTAACGAGGGCTTTCTTCAAATCCAGAGCAATGAAATATCATTTCATTCTGTTAAAGATTTGCTCAAAATAATATAAAGCTATGATGAGAAAAAATTGAAATTCTTATTGCCTAGTAGATTTATTTCAATGTAACATTAATGCAAAACTAGTTTATATGATCACTTTTCATAAATATCATTTCAAGTTCCTTAGAAGAGAAAACTGGTATTCATTCATTTATTCACTCTCTGTATTCTACATATGCAAAATACACTATATGAATGGAATTCACTGGTGATCAGAAGCAACATGTTTATATCCTCATGGAAGTTTTACTGATAAAGTGTCTAATTTTGCACTTACAGTTCTGATTAATTTGTTCAATAAAAGTTCTTAAAAATAAATATTCAGCATTGAAATATCAATGACATTAATTCACAAATGTGGCCAAACTAATTCTGTCATCTAAATGAAGAATTTCGTTAGAAATTTTTAAACTCAGTTATTACTTTAAACTCTATGAATCCAGAACACTTAAAATAATCACTAATTGTTCTAATGGCACTCAAATACATTTAAGTAAAACAACTAAATTTATGTTTCTAATCTACAGTTCATGTTATTGATAAATATTCCTAGTCAAGCAGACAAATGATATATAAGTGAAGGTATGTACTTTTTAGAAAATGCATGCACAGAAAGTTATAAAACAAGGACAATTCATGACAAAATAGTGTTAAATTTTTACACAAAATAATAATTCCAACATAATATAGTGATATTGCACATATCAGTCATTCTTGCAATATACCATGACTTAACCTTCACATTAAAACTATTTCATTTACAACATATGCAACAGAAAGCTGAACAATCACATGTCAAATGGATTTGCTTGCTTTTCTTTATCTATTTGTTTCCAACCTTTGTTCAAAAAAAAAAAGTATTTGAAACAGAGCTTATATAGTTATTTACATTGACTCAGCAGCTAATTGGTTTTTATGGCACTGTACCAGCAGTCCATTAAGGCAAAACATAATTGCTTCCTTCATTCAAACAGATTCTCAAGCAAGAAAATATTCTACCACTGACAGATGTCAACCAATAAATTTTAAAATGTTTCAAAATGTCCATTTCCTCCTCTTTACTGGGCAAACAATAAACTAATGTCTACTTCCTTTAAATTCAGATGTCTAGGACCATACTTTTCATTATAAGAACTTTAGGATATATTTTTGAAAACTACAAGCAACACACATCTCAAATGGTCTTCATACTCCTATAGAAAAGATGGGAAGATATTTCAACAAGATTACAAAACATAAGGAAGAAGTATATTAGAGCATTTAGGTGAAGGTTAGAAAAAGAAAATGAGATGTACATTTTCTATCTTTCCTATCCTCTAATCTTCTATTTTAATAGCATAAAATCTGCTGAATTTTATAGAGTGCAAATTTGAATCCATTGTTCCATGAAGAATCTAATTAGAACATTCTAGGGTTACAAAAACAGATAGTGTCATCACTAAGATATATTGGCATGCTGTGGGTAAAATCCACCATAATTAAGAGCCTTCCAAATGTTAGTCCTTCATAAAAATAAGATTGAATATTTTGAGTTTCAAAGTAAAAATATATTTAAAAAATTGAATAAGGGAGGGAGAATGCTCCATTAATCACATACTATATGGAAATCTTTTTCATGTAAAAGTAGCCAGAACATTTTCCTCCACAGAATGTAATGTGAACAATTCCAAAACATTTTATCACTCTGGACGTGTGTGTGTGTGTGTGTGTGTGTGTGTGTGTGTGTGTGTGGGTAGTTTATATAAAAGCAAACTACTGTTACCATTGCATCAAAATCACAAGGAACTTTTAGTTAGAAGTCCCATTAGATAAGAAATGAAAGCGATTTTCTAACTACCCTATCAAAAATTTCAGAGGTACAATACGTTTAGCCAATAAAAACCTTCCTCCTCACTCACATGCATCTTTTTCTCTTATTCTTTAATTACTGCTTTTTAAAAAATAATAAATCATGCATGTCTTCACACTTACAGGGTTCCTAGGGAATGAACTGCAGCCAATATATGCCACTTTCTGGTGCCTACTTTAAAGATTGTAGAAAATGGAAAATTATCAAGAACTCTCTCTGCTCTTGTACTATATAGACTCTTAGAACATGGAAATGATGTACCAGTATATCTGAGCTCTGTGACATAAAATACTCTACAATGGTTATCAGCGAGCAGATATTACATCAGTAGAGTATACAACACAGTCCAACCTGGGAATTAAAAAACTCCAACTAGTTCTGAAGCCATTTACAAGATAGTAAACAATATTAGTTTATTTAAAATGACACTTCTGGCTCACTAGT